TGTAATTAGGAAATAATATTTCCTGAGCTGAATCACAAATGATACATTTGTTGTTATTTACAACTGGGATACAGTTTTATAATAGCTTGTGCCAATGTGGTTGCTTATATAATCTTGCTTTAGAATAACTAACTGCTACATATTAAAAAAAAGTAGGGTAGACATGTAGGCCAAGTGTTTCAGGAGTTGAATTAAAGTTGTTTGCCTCCATTTTGTCATGAAGGGGTAGAGGGGGGACAGGATTACCCCTCCATACCTGATACAATGTTTGGAATAATTGAATTAGGATGGTAGATGTTGGACGCTATAGCCAGGAAATCTGAGTGTTGTAGGTGTGGCTCTAAAACCAGTACCCTCTTACTTCTGGTTTGATGCTGGGATGAAATGAGACACTTGAGTCATTGAATAAAGGAGGTTTACTTCTTACCAACACAGCAAGGGCATGCAGCAAGGATACAGTGGCATATAGATTCTCTGAATACAGCCCCCATTGTCTCCATCTGACCTCATCAGGTCAGTATGTCATCAAGGTACAGCAACTGTCATGGTCTCAGGTACCCACCAAGACTGAGAGGCTCCAGCTATACTGACTGGGACCTTTTATGCTCCCAGGCCAGGAAGCTGCCTCAAGGAAGCTGGAACCAATCAGGTTGTAAAGAAGCTACCTCAAGGAAGCTATGCCAATAAGATTACTTGGGGGAGGAAGCCAGGGAAGCTCTGTCAGGAAAATGCTGTTCCTATCATATGCCACTCCTTGGTGGCAAGGTTCTAATGATCTCCTAAAGGATCTTTCCCCATTTACATTATTGGACAGTCTTCCTGACGTGGGAAGGTAAAGGGAGAAAGGGAAAAAAATAAAAACAAACAAAGCATGACAAAAACAAAACAAAAATGTAAAGGAGGATAAAAGCCAGAAATCAAAAGCCTTTCCTTCCCCATTTAGATAGACTAAGTCTCAAAGTCTCACAATCTGACCAACGTGGTAAGTAATGTCACATTTTTGTAGTTCACAGTGTACAATGCACTGTGATACAGAATGGTGATGACGAACCAGAGATGCACCAAGAATATCAGAGCTATAGCATAAGGATGATACCTTTAACACAGCCACAGATTTTGAAAGGGTGATGAGCAAGAGCAGATCCAGGAGTATCAGGACCTTTGCATGGATACTTCTAGTGCAATAAACAATTCTTCTTGTATCAGGGTTACTGGTAGCAAAGTGCCATGTTAGTTGCTGCAGAATTTCAGTTGCATATGCCTCTCTTGTAGCAGATAGAATAATTGGTTAACCAGGCAAACTGGTATTCCTCAGAAGCCAGGACCTTATAACTGGGGGCCCACTGAGCTAGTGAAGGAGACAAGGTTCCAAGGTCTACAGCAGCTTCTTGGTACGGTCTGCTTGTGAAGAGCACTAACACCAGACGGATCGAGGCAAGCATGATTTTTAATGTACCATTTACATTTAACAATAGAAGCCTCCTGTGCTCTACCCATCTTGCTAGTGGGACCATCTCGAATCACTCAACTAATAATAGGCAACTCTGGACAATGGATAATTGTATGACCCTGTGTCATCTGTTAAATAGCAACTAGTACCCAGTAATAGACAAGCAACTGTTTTTCTTTTTTTTTTTTAATATCCACATGAAACTTCAGATCTATTATGTACAACTTGCTATTCCTTTTAAATATATAATAGTTATCATGTACATTTTTTCTTCCCTTCCCCCCCCACCCTAGAGATGGTTACCATTAGACAAAGAATAAATCATAGAAACATCAATAATTTCATTAAATAAAATGACAATAATGAGATAACATACCAAAACTTATAGTATACAGCAAAAACAATGATCACAGGAAAATTTATATCTCTAAATGCTAACACCAATAAAACAGAGAAAGAGCAAACCAATGAATTGGGTATGCAATTTAAAAAATTAGAAAAGGAACAAACTAAAAATCCCAAATTAAACACTAAATTAGAAATCCTTAAAAAATAAAAATGAGATTAATAAAATTGAGTGTAAAAATTGAGTTAATAAATAAAACTAGATGTTGGTTTATGAAAATAATTAAATAGATAAACTAGTGGTCAATTTGATTTAAAAGAGAGACAGAAGAAAAACAAATCACTAGTATTAAAAATAAAAAGGGTGAATATGCCACTAACAAAAATGAAATTGAAGCAATTATGAGGAGTTATTTTTCCCAATTATATGCCAATAAATTTAACAATTTAAGTGAAATGGAGGAATATTTATAAAAGTATAAGTTGTCTAGATTAGCAGAAAAGGAACTAGAATATCTAAATAGATCTATTTTAGAAAAAGAAATTGAACAGGCCATAAATCAGCTGCCTAAGAAAAAAGCACCAGGACCAGATGGATTTACAAGTAAATTCTATCAAACATTTAAAGACCAATTAATTCTGATATTAAGTAAATTATTTGGAATAATAGACAAAGAAGGGATCCTACTAAACTCATTTTATGATACTAGAAATATGATACTAGATACTAGATACTAGACACCTAAACCAGGAAGAGTGAAAACAGAGAAAGAAAATATAGACCAATTTCATGAATGAATATGGATGCAAAAATCTTAAATAAAATACTATGTAAAAGATTACAACAACATATTACAAAGATTATACGTTATGGCCAAGTGAATTTTATACCAGGAATGCAGAGATGGTTTAACATAAGTAAAACTAGTAACATAATTGATTATATCAATAACAAAAGATTTTTTAAAATTATATGATAATATCAGTAGATGCAGAAAAAGCTTTTGATACAGTATAACATTCATTTCTATTTAAAAAAAACACTTGGAAGTATAGGTATAAATGGATTTTTCCTTGAATTGATAAAAACCATTTATTCAAAACCATCATCAAGCATTATTTGTAATGGGGATAAGCTAGAAGCCTTCCTAGTAAGATCAGGTGTGAAACAAGGATGCCCACTATCACCAATATTATTCAATATTGTATTGGAAATCCTACCAATAGCAAGAAGAGAAGAAAAAGAAATAGTAGGATTCAGAATATGGAATGAAGTAATAAACTATCTCTTTTTGCTCATGATATGATTATATCCTTGAAATACCCCAAAGATTCAACTAAAAAGTTAATTGAAACAATTAATAAGTTTAACAAAGTAACAGGATATAAAATAAATCCACATAAATCATCAGCATTCCTATATATCACAAACAAAACCCTGCAAGAAGAAATAGTAAGAAAGGCCTCATTTAAAATAACTCTGGACAATATAAAGTACCTTGGAGTACACCTGCCAAAACAAACCCAGGAACTATATGAACAAAATTATTTTAAATAAACTTTTTATACAAATAAAATCAGTTTTAAACAATCAGAGAAATATTAATTGTTCATGAGTAGGGAGGGCCAATATGACAATTTTACCTAAACTAATTTATATATTCAATGCCATCCCAATTAAATTATAAAAATTACATTACTGAACTAGAAAAAAAGAATAACAAAATTCATTTGGAAGAACAAAAAGCCAAGAATAACAAAAGAACTGATAAAAAAATGTAAAGGAAGGAGGTTTAACAGTACAAGATCTTAAACTGTATTATAAGGCAGTAATTATCAAAGCTATCTGGCACTAGCTAAGAAATAGGTAGATCAATGGAACAGAGTAGACATACAATTTACAGCAGCAAATATAGTAACCTTATATTTAACAAATGTAAAGACAAGATTTGGGGATAGGAATTCATTATTTGGTAGAAAAAATTGTTGGGAAAACTGGAAAGAAGTATGGCAGAAATTGAGTGTAGACCAATATCTTAGACCATTTACCAAGATAAGGTCAAAATGCTACATGGCCTAGATATAAAGAGATATTACAAGAAAATTTGAACATGGAACATATTACTTGTCGGACTTATGAATAGGCAAACAATTTATGAATAAATAAGAGATAGGGAGCAGAGTGAGGTACAAAATAGATCATTTTGATTACATTAAAATAAAAAGTTTTGTCCAAATAAAACAAATGAGCCAAGAGCAGAAGGAAAGCAGAAAATGGGGAGAGGGGAAGGATTTTATAGACAGTTCCTCAGATAAAGGTCTCATATCTCAAATATATAAAGAACTTTCATAAAATCTATAAGAATATGAGTCATTCCCCAATTGATAAATGGTCAAAGGATATGAACAGGTAGTTTTTAGATAAAGAAAGTAACTGTTTTTCGAAAACTGTATGATGAGTGGCTATTAGAGGATGGGGTGGGGGTAAGGGTAGGAATGGGAGTGTGGGTGGAGGTAGGGGAGAAGGTGCAGGGGAATATGCCTTGGAGATCCAAACAATTTATTCTGGCCACCCCTTGGTGCCTGCCAAAGGTTCCAGCCACTCTGGTCTTTATGGTCAGGAACCTCCGGAAACATGAACCTTGGAAGAGTCATAAGAGACAACAGACAGCCTACTATACAACTTCCAGAGCTGTGACCTGCACTAGGTCCCACTTAAAAAACACAGAGTTGTGGGTAACACAATAATTTGGAGCAGGGGTGGTATGTAATAGGACCAGCATTTTCCTACCATAGTTTCTCTGACTTTCTCCCTTTCAAGCAACCTCACTGGCCCAGCTTCTCTGAGGTAGCTTCCTGGGGGGTGTAAAAGGTCCCAGTCAAGTGTAGTTGGGGCTTCTCAGACTTTCTGGGTGCCTGAGAACAGGAGAGTCACCCTACCCTGATGACATATTGACCAGATATGTTTCCACATACAGAGAAGCTAAGTGTCACTATATGCATACTGGAAAGTTTTACTATATTTGCACAAAGCAAACCTCCACAGTTCAATGACTCACAAGTGTCTCATTTCATCTTAATATCAAATCTGAATTAAGAGAGCACTAAAGTTAGAGCTGTGCTTTAAAACACTGAGTTACTTTACTACTTTTTATTCCAGTGCACTGTACATGTCTGACATGAAATGTTTTTCTCTCCTCTTCAGTTCAGAGACTGAAAATGGTGTGGAAGAGAAAAAAAGGGTTGGCAAGTCACCAATACTACAGATGCCAATATCTCCTGAGATAGAATCATTGGACCAGAAAAAAATCACTTTCTTAAGGTAAAATCCTAAATCCAAACAGAAAATAGTAACTTTTTAAAAAAATTTTCAAAACTATTCCAGGAAAATTATTTTTTAAAGATTTATAATATTTTTATTAGAAAATAATGCAATATGGGCTTATTTCTTTAATTCATGGCACCTTTTTCATCTTCCTTCTGCTGTATTTTTACATGTATGCATACTAACTGGGGAAGATGGAGGAGAATGATTTGATAACTCTTGAATGATAATCTGAAATAATATGTAAATCTGCCAACTGGGAAATTATAATAGGAGGAGAAGGGAAGAAAAAGAGAATTTACTGGTTTGAACAACTGACTATTGGCCTTGTGGGAATGTTTGTCAGTTTATTTCTTCTTCCTATAAGCAATGGAATGGAATGGAACCTAGAATAGCAATGCTGGAATTTTAGGCACCATAGTTATGCAGCCTGTTGTATATATCAATTCTACCCTATTCATCCCTATTAACTTAAGGTAAGCATTAGGTTATGGGTGTAGGGGGAAAGAGGGTAAGCAAATGGGAGATGTGGTCGTCAAGGAGAAGGATTCTGTTGAGAGCTGAGGCAAGAGTGAAGTGAAATATGACTGAGATCCTTCCTAAAATAGTTGCCCCAGGAAGTAGTCACCATTGCTGGGAGGTGGAGGGGATGAGAGGAGACAGGTCATACAGCCAGAATATGTCAGAGGCAGGACTTGAATCCAGGTCTTCCTGATTCAAGGCTAGTTCTCTATCCTCTACATGTCAGGTTGCCTCTCAAAGTTAAACAGATACCAACAAACACCACCACCACCACCCCCAAAAAGCTTGGCTGGTTTCTAATATATTAGTTGCTTATTAAGGGACCCAAGGAACAAAAAATCTTGTCAAAATTTAGAGACAAATACTAGCCAAATAAGTTCCTCTTGGATGAAAGGGCTCAATTCTGCCTTTTGAATGAGGGCAAGTCATTTTATCTTATTGAGCTTGTTTCTTCTTTGGTAAAATGAGGCAGTTAGACACAATAACCTCTAATGTCCTTTATAATCTCTAAAATTATGAACCTTTGAGGAAGGAGCTTTTTTCTAATGGACACGTGTTTATTTTCAAGAATAAAGAAATAAAGCTTTCCTTTTTACTTTTGAGCTCCATAAATCACTGGAAGATCACTTCAGTCCATGGAAGCACTCTCAACCTCCTCCCTCTAAAAGGATGCCCAGGTCAGCCTTCTCTCAATTTCTCAGCAGGCTGCAATCTGTACTCCTTAATCATGTCTGATAACAGGAACCTTCCTCACCCCTTCCTTTTAGCTTCTTTTTTTGTTGTTGTCTTCCCCAATTAAAATGTAAGCTCCTGTAGGAGAGAGATAGACTTTCTTTTCCATTGTATTTGTATTCACAGCATTTAGCACAGTTCCTGACACATGGTGAGGGTATAATAAAGGCATGTTGAGAGACTGACCTGAATATCATCCTTTGTCTCTTACTTTCAATCTCTTCCTATGTACAAATTGTTTCCCTGCCACCTAGAGTCACATTTTCCCCATCCTTCAAAATTTACTTGATCTTATCATCCTCACTAGGTATCTTCCTATATGTCTTTTCAAATTCTTGAGAAAGCCATCTAAACTAGGTATTTTTACTTCCTCTCTTCTCACTCTCTTCTTTACCTTCTACAACATAGCTTCCAACTTTGTCATTCAACTCGAAGTTTTCTTGCCAAAGTTACCAATGTTCTTTTCTAATCTTCAAATCTAATGGCTTTTTCTCAGTCTTCATCCTTCTTGACTTCTCTGAAGCATTAAACACTTGATCACTCTCTCCTCCTGGATACTCTCTTCTTTCTAGGTTGTGACGTTGTTCTCTCCTGGTTGACCTCCTACCTATTTGCCTGCCCCTTCTTAATCTTTGACCAGTCTTTATCCAGGTTATGCCCAGTAACCATGGATGTCCCTTAAGGTTCTTTCTCCTGGACTCTCTTATCTTTTACCTCTGTACTAACTCATTTGATGATTTCATTAGCTCCTATGGATTCAATTATCATCTATGAAATGATTCCCAGATCTGTATATCCAGCTTTAACTTCTTTCCTAAGCTCCTACCTGGCATCACCACTTGTCTTTTGGACATCTAAAATTGAATGTCTTACAGCCAACCCCTTAGCCATCTCAAACTCAACATGTCCAAAACAGAAACCATTGTCTTTCCCCCAAACCTTTCCCTTACGAAATTGCCCATGACTGTTGAAAGCAAAACCATCCTCCCAGTCACTCAAGCTCACAACCTCTGTGTCATCATCAATTCTTCATTCGCTTTTACCATACATATAAAATTTGTTGCCAAGCATATATGTGTGTGTATACACATATATACATATATATGCATATGTATGTGTATGTGTGTATATATGTATGTGTATATGTGTATATATGCATAATTACATACATACATTCTTTTATAAAGGTCTTACTTTCTCTCCACTAAAACAGTGCTCATCACCTCATCCTTGAAATAGCCTTCTGTTTGGTCTCCTTCCCTCAAATCTCTCCCCATTCCAATCTATCTTCCATTTAGCTGCCAAGCTAAGGTCTGACCTAAAGCTCAGATCTGACCATGTCACACATCCATTTAGCAAACTCTAGTGGCTCTCTATTTTTGTTGTTAGGTCATTTCAATTGGTCCAACTCTTTGTGATCCCATTTGGGGTTTTCTTGGCAAAGGTACTGGAGTAATTTGCTGTTTCCTTCTCCAACTCATTTTATAGATGAGGAACTAAGGCAAATCATGTTAAATGACTTGCCCAGATCACACAGCTTGTAAGTATCTGAAGCCGAATTTGAATTCAGGAAGATGAGTCTTGCTAACATCAGGCTCAGCACTCTGTCCATTGTGCCACCTAGCTGCCCTGGCTATGATCAAATATAAAATCTTCTATTCAGCATTTAATGCCATTCATAACCTGGTTCTCTCCTACTTTTCCATTCTTCTTACACTTTACTCCCTTTCATGCACTCTATAATCCAATGAAACTGACTTCTTGCTGTTCTTCTTATGACACTCCATCTCTCAATTCCATGTTATTGTACTGACGACTCCTCAGGCCTAGAATGCTCTCCTCCCTCTTGTCTGCCTCCTGGCTGCGTTGGCTTCCATCAATGCTCAGCTTGAATTTTGCCTTCTGCAACAGGTTATTCCTGGTTCACCTCAGTGTTAGTACCCTTGTTTTGAGATTGATTATCATCCATTTGTATATATCTTATAAACACAGTTATTTGCATATTGTCTCTCCCATTAGAATATAAGTTCCTTAAGGGCAAGGGCCATGATCTTGCCTTTCTTTGTATCCTCAGTGCTTAGCATAATATGTAGAACATAGTAAGCTTTAATGAATGCTTGCTAACTGACTGGAGCCAGTTTGTGAAGGGTTTTAAATGCCAAAGAGCAAAATAGTGACATATCCAACCTATGCTTAAGGAACATCACTTTGGCAGTTGTGTGGATTGATTGATGTGATGTGAGATTTGGGTTAGGGAGACCAGGCTATTTTAGTAGAACAGGTAAGAGTGAATGAGGGCCTGAATTAAGGTGGTCAGTGTATGGGTGGAGGGAAGGAGCAAAATTTGAAAGGTGTTGTGGAGGTAGAAATAATAAGATAGAGCAATTGACAATTAGTATCAGGGGCAAGATTTGAGCTTACATCTCTCCTAAATCCAAGTTCAGTGCTTCCACTATACCACGTTGCTTTCTTTTCTTTTTCTTTTCCTTTTTTTCAGTTATAGTTTAATTTCTTTATAGCTTAATACACCATTGAGTGTGCCCAAAGAGAAAGATTTGTGTTGCATGTTGCGTATGCAGAATAAGATGTGATTCCTAATTAACTGAGAAAATGCAGAGCTTTTCTCTGCTTACCTTCTGTAAGGAACTTAATTCCATGATTACGGATATACATGGAGAGTGAACAATCTCACTCAGGAGAAGTCGTATCTCAGTAGTCTCCAGAGCTGCAAACCCTGGAGGTCAGGGAATATGATGGGACCCGCTCTCATATATGTCTGAAATGCCAAGGGTTCTAGTCTGACATTTGAAAGTCTGTCTCTAAATGAGGTCCCTAGAGATCCTCTCTGTACATATCTCTCCACAGTTTCTCTCTGAAATCTCTGACACTAAAGCCATCATTAAGTATTAGCATTGTACTCAGCATTCTCTCATTCAGTCAGGAGTCATATTTCTCTCCATAGGCTTGTTACCTGAGATTCTGAGAAAATCATCTTTTTTAAAAGTGCTAACGTATGTGTTTATGGCATGTAGTTATGGGATTCACACTTTCCCTAGCTGATTTTTGCTTGGGACTGCAAAAGGTTTTGGCCTAGGGAAGAAATGTAATCTTGCTTTTGTCCAAGCCTGAGGCAGCTTTGCAGAGGGATAATCTTGTACTACTTCCCAGAGAAGGAGGCATGAGTCTTGATTAGCTAAAAGAATACAATGCCATATATTTGTGTGAGGGACTTAATTCACTTTGTCATGAAGATGTCAAAGAGAGACTTTGGAGACATGTGAAGACAGTACCTCAATTGAGTTTGTTGAGAGAGAGAGAGAGAGAGAGAGAGAGAGAGAGAGACTTTTAAATGGAGAACTGGAGCCCTCAAAACATCAAACATGTATGAAAGTGGGCCCATCTTGTATCTGGATCTTCAAGGCTTTCAACTCTAGAGACTACTGAGATAAGACTTCCCCTGGGAGATATCATTCTTTCTCTATGTGTGTCTACAACCAACTTAAGTAACTCTTTTAAGGCAGTAGGCACTGTCATGTTTAGCATTATCTTAGTAAATCAGGAATTATCTCCCTTAGCTTAAACAGTATAGGGCTATCCCTCAGATTTAAAGAAGTGTTGCATGAGTATGAGATAATCTAGTAATACAAACTAGACTAAAAATATTGACTAGTAGGGGAACACAAGAAAGTCTAATGAATAGGTAAAATAATTTATAATTAGAATATCAGTTTAACATTTGCCAAATTAATGAGTATAGCATGAATTAATAAGGTTCCATTTCATCTACTAATTACAGAGTTTGTGATTTTGTTGGGAGTTCATTGGAGAAAAATCTAGAGTCTAAATTCTGCTCTTGATAAATTAAAAGAAAAGAAATTGAGTCACAAACAGTCAATTCTCCTTACATGACTTTGTTTATGCTTTTTAACCTACATGAAATGCCATCCAAACTCTTAATCTATCCAAGCCCCACCCATCCTTTACAATGTCCCACCAAAGCCTTATCCATATAATCCAAACCATGTATCCTTCTCATTCTACTAATTCCTGCATTGTCTATGCTACTCATTTTAGCACATATATTGCTCTATATTGTATTTTACATTTTTGTACACATAATTTTATGTCCTCAAGTGAATTCCTAAAAGCAGGTACTGTCTAGTAAAATACTTTTTACATAGGACTCAATAAATACCATTGAAGCAAATCATTAAATGAATATGTTTGTATTCATATTGAAAATAATATTGGCATGTAGAACTCACATCCATGTTGGTTAAAGTTTGAAACAAGCAAATTCTTCTTTTTTTAATTTAACATTTCTGCAACTAGAAATGTCTTTCTTCTAAGGTTTATTTCTTAGGGTGGAGAAAGGGAAGACAAGGGAGGTGTTTCTCAGAAGATCAGAAAGAAAGGTGTTAAATAAATATCAAATAGTGTTACATTGACTTCAAGGCCTGGAAGTGACAAATTAAATTATTATATTGCAGAATGATAAAATAATCAGAATGATTAAAGGAAGGTCAATGCAGCAACACTAACAAAAGATTAGCTTTATGAAATCCTAGGATTTTCTCTTTCCAGGTCAAAGACCAGTAGTGATGGCCTCTCCTTGGTGAGTGACAGTAAGAGTGATTCTAAAACTGACAGCAAAAATGATTCTAAGGCTGAAAGGAAAAAGTCATACTCTACAAGTCAGGTAATTCTACAAGTTCTTGTTCTTCTTCCTCCTTTTTTTTCCTTCCTTTTCTTGTTCTTCTACCTCCATTTATCAAACAGTAAAATGGCCCAAATTCAGGCTGTAAGAAGTAGAATAAGGAAGATTTAAATAATCAGCAAGCTTGCAGACTCAGACTCTAGCTGTCTTTTAAAACTTTATGTACTGTGACTTTTTTAGATGAATGAAAGTAGAAAATGTCCAAGAAATCAATAAAATAGATCGTAAGCAGCATAAAAGCAAGAAGTATACACCATTTACCTTCATTTCTCCCTTAGTGCCCAGTGCTAATCTCTGAACATAGTTTTGTGAGAGTTAATTGCATTAGAATTTGTAGAACTGGTGTGATTGGAGAGGTATTGGATGTATACATATCATGATAAATTTTGTTATCCTTTAGAAGAATCTTATGAAGTAAATGTTAACTTATTTTAACAGATATAGAAACTGAAGCTTAGGAAATTAAATCTAGTGCATTTCTTTTTGGATGCTTCCAATATGTCTTCTCATTTTCTATTCAAAATTTTCAAGTATAGACCTGGGGGGAAAGCAAGAGTTTGTATAACCACCAATATGATCACAGAGGATGTTCCATAATTCACTTTCTGTCCCACTTGCCATTCATAATCTTGTTGATCCCACTGTTAATTTCTGTAGCTGGGAGGGAAAAGTCATAAGCAATTTAAAATTCGCTTCTTTTTCTAAAGAACTATATCAAATACGCTTTTAAGATGTAAATAGTTGTGAGGAAAGAGAAGAGTTCTGGGTGGTGGTGTAAATCATGGCGATCAAAGAAGGAAAAATGTTCAGTGATTGATGGGGATCATCAGGATATTTTGTTTCCATTGTAGTATAAAGCAAATATGCACTTTCACAAGTTATTTCTGGAAGTCCCAAGTGAGGAACCACTGAAACAAAGTAAGTATTATTCTGTTTTATTTTTAACTCTAGTGTTTTACACATTACTCTCTTGGAAAATTAATTGGAGGGAAATCACCAAATTTGATAGACCTCCAAAACCAGTAGTGACAATTGGTTACTGCTGAAACTGATCCATAAAAGACAATTAAGTAGTAAAGTAGCAGAAGTTGATGCTGCAAAAACAGTCATATTCAAATATCACATTTACCTTGAATTGAAATTCCTGAAATTAGGTTGTCCAAGGACCAAGAATAATAATCAGTGATGGTACAAATTAACCAGATGGGAATGAGTGTATTAAAATGGATAAATTTGAGACACCATGGTGTGATTACTATCATCACTATCAACAACCTTAACTGACCTCAGGCAGGTCATTTAACTTTCTCTAAGCCTTGTTTTCTTCTGTCTGAAATAAAGATAATAATGTTTTAACTACCTACATCATACATTATCCTCTCCATTTCAGAAAATAGCAAACCAAGGCAAAAGGTTGTTGTAAAGAAAGTGTTTTATAAACAATGCACACTTTAGAAATGTGAGAGGTTCTTATTGCCATGGCTGGTATATTATTGAAGGGTTTCAAATATTTTCGTCTTACCTTTTCTAGTAAAAAACATGCTAAAGCTCATCAAGATGCTTCCAGAGCTGCAACTAGGGCAAGATAACTGGGCTTTTATTCAGAGGACCAAAATCTAGAGGGTACTGATAGCATTTGCAGTTCTTCAACAGCACACAGGGGAAAACTGCTTAACAAATTATATTTGTTAAAATGGGAAGCTATAGGGGCAGCGAGGTGGCTCAGTGGATAGAGTACCAGCCCTGGATTCAGGAGGACCTGAGTTCAAATGTGGCCTCAGACACATAACACTTACTAGCTGTGTGACCCTGGGCAAGTCACTTAACCCCATTGCCTAGTCTAAAAAATAAAAAATAAAAAAATAAAATAAAATGGGAAGCTATAAGATAACTTACTTCCGCTTCTTATCAACTCCAACTCAGCTAAGCTCCTCCCTGGCACACTTCTACTACTCCCCATGGTGGTCAAATGAATTAAAAGCCAATTTCATGTCACTTGTCTGAGGCACAAAAATTCTAGTTATAGTTCTGGATGTTTCCTACAGTCTCTAAAAGGAAGGTATGTATCATGAAGTGCTGTTACTAGGAGATGGGAGATACTTTAGAAAAACTTAGTCCTTTTTAAAACCTTCCATGGGAAAAATGTGCTAAGTCAGAAGGAAGAGAGGTTGCTGGTTATATGTTATGTCAATATGTCCTCACATGGAAAGCAATATATACTTTAGGAATTTTTTGGAAACCAGCCATTGCCCTTTAGTTTTTATTTTTCAGTTTGGTTTGGAAGTTATTGAGATTTATAAAAATGAAACTTTGCTCCTTTCTAGCATCAGCAATTTTATTTCACTAAGTCACAATTTTAGCAAGTATTATATGAAGTCAGATAACAAACTGTATATATTCCCTTTATACTCCCTCACCAAAAATATTCTCCCCTCACTGAAGAAAATTTTGCATAATATCATATTTTTACATGTGTTTCAGGTTTTACTTGTGCTCTGCAGAAGGAAATACTGTACCAAGGAAAACTGTTTATATCAGAAAACTGGATTTGTTTCTATTCCAAAGTCTTTGGCAAAGACACCAAGGTTAGTATGTAATTGGAGGAGAACTAACAAGCCTCTTGCAATTAAAAAAATAATATATTTAAATGTTATCACTGATAAACTGAACATCCGAAAGATTGTTAAGGAGCTCTTTTTTCATCCTTACATTTTTATACCTAGTTTTCCTGGATTCTTTATACCAATATTAGATTCCTGTTGCAATATAGCTCATGATTTTGTCCCTCTTTCTCCTGAAGTTATTTGCTATAACTTGGAGAGGAGAGCTCGGGCTTGTGGATCAACATCTCTTCCTAGAAACTCTCTCCTCTCTAGGTTTTTGTGGACAGTGCTCTCTCCAGGTTAACCTCCTACCCATCTATTTGATCCTTCTCTGTTTTCTTCGATGATCTTCATCCATATCACTCTCACTAACCATGGGTGTCACCCAAGGCTCTATCCTGTACTCTCTTCTTTTTTCTGTCTGTATTACCTCATTTGATGATCTCATCAGCTCCTATTGATTCGATTGTTATCTATATGCAAATGATTCCCAGCTCTATGTATCCAGCTCTAATCTTTCTCCAGAATCTCATATAATCAACTGCCTTTCAGACAACTTAAATTGGATGTCCTACAGCCATCTTGGACTCAACTTGTCCAGAAGAGAAATTGTCTTTCTCCCCAATCCTCTAATCATCCCAACTTTCCAATTGTTGTCTAAGGCACCCCCATCCTCCCAACCATCCAAGTTCACAATATCAGTGTCATCCTCAGCTTCCCACTTGCACTCACCCCATATTTTAAATCTGTTGCCAAGTCTTATCATTTCTGCCTTCATAATATCTCTCACATATGTCCCCTCCTCTACACTTACATAGCCTTGTGTAGGCTCTCATGCCTGGACTATCACAATGCCTTTCTGATTGGTCTGCCTGCCTCAAGCCTCTTCCCATTCCAATTCTTACTCCTTGGTTGCCACAATGATTTTCCTAAAGCTCAGGTCTGACTGTGTCTCGTTAACACTGTTAATTCCCATATCAGGTATAAAATCTTCTGACTGGCATTTAAAGTCATTCACAACCTGACCTTTTTCTACCTTTCCAATCTTTCTACACTTTACTTTGTGCATTCTACAATCCAGCTATATTGGCCTCCTTCCTATTCCTCACCCATGACTTTCTATCTCTTGATTCCACGCCTTTGCAATTGTCTGTCTCCCGTGTCAAGAATGCTTACCCTCCTCTCTTTCACCTGTTAGCTTCTCTGGCTTCCTTCAAGACTTGGAGAAAATCCACTTTCAGCAATAGACTTATTCTAGTAAATTTCTTTTAAGATTAAATTTCATCTACCCGGGGCAGCTAGATGGCACAGCGGGTAGAACACCGACCCTGGAGTCAGGAGGACCTGAGTTCAAATCCAGCCTCAGATCAAACACTTGACACTAACTAGCTGTGTGACCCTGGGCAAGTCACTTAACCCCAATTGCCTCACCAAAAAGCAAAAAGTAAAAAATAAAAAATTTCATCTACCCTGTATGCACTTTGGATGTGCATAGTTACTCACACATTGTCTCCCCCATTAGAACTCAATGAGTTCATTGAGGACAAGCATTGTGTTTTGCCTTTAGTTGTATCTTCAGGGCTTGGCACAATGACTGGCACATAGTAAATACTTAATAAATATTCATTGACTATTGAACTAGGGCACTGAAATTTAGTAGGTGGTGACAGAGCCTGTAATTCATAAGTATAGAAACAATTGATAGAAGAACCTAGTAACTAAGAATGATTATTTAAAATAGGAAGTTACCAGAGAGTCTTATTTTTCCCTATGGTCATACTTTAAGTGATCTCTTGCAGCATAGAAACCAATTTAAAGTCTATCGCATCATTCAAGCCAAGAGGTGACAACAGCCTAAAATAGAGTAGTAGCTATGTAAGTGATGAGAATGGTATGTACACAAGAGAAGAAGTAGAGGTATAAACTATGAGACTGTGGAACTATGTATAAACTATGAACATGTGGAGTGAGAGTAAGGAGCAGAGGGGCGCACCTAGGTTTGTGAGCCTTAATGGCTATGAGGATGGTGGTACCCTTGACAGAACAGGGAAGCTGGGAAGAGGGGACGGTTTTGGAGCTAAGCTTGAGGTATCTACTGGACAAAAGCCAGTAGATGATGAAGAACTGGAGCTCCAGTAAGAGATCAGAGTTAGATATATAGATATCTAGGAATCATTTGCACAGAAATGATCATTGAACTGATGGGAGCTGATGTGCTTATCAAATGATAACAGTACAGAGCAAGGTTTCTTAATTAAGATACTTTAAATTTGTTGGGTATTTTCTACATTTTCAATATATTTCAATATTCAGTATTTAAATATAATTGGTTTCTTTTGTAGCCCTATACATTTTATTTTGTGCATTTAAAAATACTCTTCTACAATGGGATCCGTAGGTTCCACAAGATTGCCAAAAGAATACACAATCCAGAAGAGTTTAACAATCCCTGGTATAGAGGGTAAAGAGAAGAGGTCCCAGGTCACCAGGTCAAACCCTTGGTGAACACCCATAGTGGATGTAACACAGATAGATGAAGATCCAACAAAAGAGACTTGAGAACTAGTGCTCAGACAGGTGGGAAAAATAAGAAAAAGCAGTGTCATGAAAATTTAGAGAGTACCCAGGACAAGTTAATCGATCATGCTAAAAAGTGTAGAGAGGTCTAGAACAATGATGATTGATAACACCCCATTGGATTTAGCAATTTAAAGATTGTTGGTAATTTTGCAGAGAGTAGATTCAGTTGAATGATGAGGTCAGAAGCCAGATTTCAGAGGGTTGGGAAGAGAGTGAGAAAAGAGAAAGTGGAGGTACAAATTGTTTTTTTTTTCTTTCAAGCAGTTTAGCTACCAAGGGGAGGAGAGATATAGGATGATAGCTAGTGGGGAGGATGAGATCAAGTAACTTGATCAATATCAAGTGATCAAGATCGAGATTTTTTTAATATTCATTTTTTAAATTTTGAATTCCAAATTTCTTCCCTCCCTCATATACCTGTCCCACCCATTGAGAAGGCAATAATATGACATTCATGCTATACATGAAGTCATGCAAAACATATTTCCATATTAGCTGTGTTGCCAAAAAAAAAAATCAAGAAAATAAAGTGGGGGAAAATGTGTTTTAATCTGTACTCAGACCTCATCAGTTCTCTCTTTGAAGGTGGGTAGCATTTTTCATCATGAGTCTTTTGGCATTCTCTTGGATCATCACTTATATCACTTATATCACAGGATCATCACATTGATCAGACTACTTAAGTCTTTCAAAGTTGATTACCATTATCCATGTGGCTGTTACTGTGTGCAATGTTCTTCTGGTTCTGCTCACTTCAGTTTGTATCAGTTTGAATATCACTTATATCTTCCCTGTGATATAAGTCTTCCCCGGTTTTTCTAAAAGCATCCCTTTCATCATGTCTTAGAGCACAATAGTATTCCATCACAATCATATACTATAATTTGTTCAGTCATTTCCCAGTTGATTAGAATTTCCAATTTTTTGCCACCACAAAAAGAATTGCATATATGTATGTGTATAAACACACACACACACACACACACACACACACACACACAGAGTTTCTTTTTCCTTTTTCTTCAACCTCTTTGGGCTATCGACCTAGTAATGGCATTGCTGGGTCAAGGGGTATGTACCCTTTGTGCATAGTTCCAAATAGTTCGTCAGAATGGTTGGACCAATTCACAACTATCCCAATAGTGCATAAATGTCCCTATTTTTCCACATTCTCTGTAGTATTTGTCATTTTCCTTTTCTGTCATGTTAGCCAATTTTATAGGTGTGAGGTAATACCTCAGAGTTGTTTTGATTTACATTTTTCTAACCAATAGTTTAGAGAATTTTTTCATGTGACTATTGATACTTGTTCCTATCCTTTGACTATCAATTGGGGAATGGCTCTAATTTTTATAAATTTAGCTCATTTACCTATATATCTGAGAAATGAGGCTTTTATCAGAGAAATTCACCATAAAAAAACTTTTTTATCATTTTCCTGCTCTCCTTTTAAATTTGGCATTTTGTTTGTGCAAAACCTTTTTAATTTCATGTAATCAAAATTATCCATTTTACCTCCTGTGATCCACATTATCTGTTTGATCATAAACTCTTCTCTTATCCATAGATCTGACAGATTTTTCCCATGTTCCCTTAATTTGTGTATGTTTATGCAAATTTTATGTTTAAATCATGTTTTGAAGTTTTTTTAGTACATAGTGTGAGATGTTGATCTATGCCTAGTTTGTGCCACACCACTCTCCAGTTTCCCCAGCAGTTTTTGACAGATGGTGAGTTCTTGCTCCCAAAGTTTGAATCTTTGGGTTTCTCAACTACTAGATTACTATGGTCATTTACTACTGTGTATTGTGTATCACTGATCCACCACTCTATTGGTGGAATAGCCCGTAGCAGATCATATTGATGATTACCACTTTATACTTTGAAATCTGTTACTGCTAGGCCCCCTTTACATTTTTTTCATTAATTCCCTTGATATTTTTTACCTTTTGTTCTTCCAGGTGAATTTTGTTTCTGTTTTTTCTAGCTCTATAAAATAATTCTTTATTTGATTGGTGTGACACTGAATAAAAAAATTAATTTAGGTAGCATTGTCATTTATTATATTGACTCAGCCTACCCATGAACAATTAATATTTCTCCAATTGTTTAGATCTGTCTTTAATTGTGTGAAAAGTGTTTTGCAATTGTGTTCACATATTTTCTCTTTGCATCTTGGCAAGTAGGCTCCCAAGTATTTTATACTGTCAGAAGTTATTTTAAATGAAATTTCTCTTTCTATCTCTTCCTGCTGGGTTTTGTTGGTAATATATACAAATGCTGATGATTTATACAGGATCAAGTGACAGAGTTTTAAGGACAGGGAAGACTCAGGTATGTTTGTAGGTATTAGAAAAGGAACTAATAGATAGGAAGTGTTTGAAGATTAAAAAGTGAAGATGATGGTGGAGGAAATCTGCTGGAGAATACAGGAGGGCATGATATAAAGAAGGCATATATAGGGGTTATTCTTGGCAAAAAAAAAAAAGGCCACCTCTTCATCTGAAATGGAAGTAAGAAAAAGAAAGGGGAAGATTTCCATGTTATGTCAGATGAAGAGAGGATGAAAGAGAGCTCACAGCAAATGGCCTCAGTTTTTCAGAGAAGTGTGAAGTGAGGTCCTCAGCTGAGCAGGTTGTGGGAAAGAATACCGTAGGAAGCTAATGGGGAATTCAGAAGGTTTAGAACAGCCTCTGAAAAGTACAATAGCAAATTAGTTAAAGAGAAATGGGATGAGTGCCTTGTTGCAGCTGGGATTAGATAGCAGAAATTTGTAATGGACCCAGTCAGCATGGCTTTATTATTTTTTTCTAGTTCCATTCATCAACACATGAAATAATTGGCCTAAAATTCTTTTTCTTTAGGGTACCTGTACTGTTTAGTTCAGAAATTAAAATGTATTATATAGCAACTTGTGACTTAATAGTTTTTGTTCTTTGATTAAGAAAATGAGTAGTTTTCTTGCATTATTATTCACCTTGGCATCTGTTCTTTATTATTATTTTCTCTCTTTCTCTGCCAGAACCTATCAAAATTGATCACGTCTAGGTATTGAGTTCAGTCCCTTGTGATTAGCTATGCTTTAGATTTCTTTTGTGAATTAGCTAAATATCTTCACATTTCACTACATGCTGTCTTAATATTTTGTTTTTCCAGTCTTTCCTGTCCTTTACATATACTGGAAATTTTCTTTCATAGCAAATCTTTGGTGAATGTGAAATATCACCCAGAATAAATTAGATATTAGAATCAGAGCTGAAAGGGACTTTAAATACCATCTAGTCTAACCCCTTCATTTTACAGATGAGTTTTTACAGGAGTCAGAAAAACTCAGTGTTTTGATAAAGGTCACACATTCAGTGTACCTTAACTAGTACAAAATGTTTCAGTTTCCACTCTAATGGTTTCTTGACCTGCATATGAATTAATTCCTTGGAGGAAAAAAAGTCAAATATTGAAAATCTTTTTCATCTATCATGTAAGCTAACTATTGTAAAATATAAAGATTTAATCTTTCCCCAATTTAGCCTACACCAAAAAGCATAAAACATAGTTATATAGTAAATAGGCAAGTGTGACCACTGAGGGAAGAAATGTCTGTTAGAGATAATATTAGCCATATTGCTCTACCTCTTCATTGAGGTAGCTAGATGGTGCAGGGAATGGTGCACTAGACCTAGAATCAGGAAGACCTGAGTTCAAATCCAATCTCAGATACCTACTAGCTGGGTGACACTGGGCAAATCACTTAACCTCTGTCTGCCTCAGTTTCCTCAACTATAAAATGGGGATATTAGTAGCACCTTTCTCACAGGGTTGTTGTGAGAACCAAATGAAATAATATTTGTAAAGCACTTCACACTGGCACACAGTAGAAACTTAATAAATGCTTGTTCCCTTACCTTAGTGATTAAAAAAAAAAGGATTTGATTTAATCATTTCTTTCCAACTCTGTTGGAAGGATATGGTATAGAAACAGTGGGAGGCTCCTAAATGGAGTATGCTTGCACCTACCTAGTAACTCCAACTGTCTATCATATAGTCTTGAACCAGAGAATCATAAAATATTAGAACTACAACGGAGCTCAAAGTTCATCTAGTACAATGAATTCCATAGGGTGGAATATGAACCATAGAGATTTCGTAAATGGTCTCTGAATCCAGATGTGAATCTACAAGAAGGCACAGACTGAATAAAATAAGCAAAATGTTCTGAATAATATGTCGCACATATGTACGACTATTTTTCAAATGCATATAGCTTTTGTGATTAATAGCAATGATAACAATTAACATTTATTAAGAGCTCTAAAGTTTGCAACGCACTTTATATATGTTAGATCATAAAAAATACAAATTCATTTAAAGGTGTTACTGAATCTGGAGAGAGTTTTCATCATAATTTTTTCAATCATAATTTTTTATCACAATAAACAATGTAACTACTCATTAGGTTATTTTTGGTAAAAAAAAATTAACATTAAGGAATCATCATACTTAAAAAGGTTAAGAATCACCATTCTAGTGCAACCTAGTTCTTTTACAAAAGAAGAAAATGAGAATGGCTAAACAAGTTGTGGTATATATCCATAATAGAAAACTATTCTGCTATAATAAATGATGAACATGGAAAGACTTGTACAAAATCATGAGCAGAACCAAGAGAACATCGTATATGGTAACAGCAGTATTGTTTTAAGAACAACTTGGAGCAGCCAAGTGATTCTGACTATTATAAATACCCAAATTAACCACAATGTCCTATGAAGGAAGATGCTATTTGCATCCAGAGAAAGAACTGACTTACACATACACACACACACACACACACATATATACACATATATACATATTTGTGTCTAATGGTAACCATCTTGGGGGGCAGGGGGACGATAAAAAAGGTTTCATGATAACTTGTATATTTAAAAGGAATAGTAAGTTGTGCATAATAGATCTGCAGTCTCAGGTGCAATGCTCTTTTTTTTTTATTCCACTTTGTTATGGAAATGCTTGTTTTATTTCTTAAGTTCAGAATTTTAAAAAAAAAGAAATGAAAAGAAAAGAAAAAGAAAGAAAACGAGGCTCAGGGATGTGAGGTAGTGTGTCATGACTCCCAGCCCTCCTCTTTCCACTACACCCTGTTTGTCATCCTTTATAGTGCACTTTTCTCCATCAAAGCTATAAAACTTATTACTATGCTTAGTTTGGCTTAGTTTATTATTACTATAATTTTCTTTTTAACTTGCAATTATAACAAGAAGATTTGGATCCATTTTTGTAGAAACCTGAACTACTATTAACTTAGTGATTCCATTACAGATCTGTATTCCAGCCATCTCAGTGACTCTAATAAAGAAAACCAAAACTGCCCTGCTGGTGCCAAATGCTCTGATTATTTCAACAGTCACAGAAAGGGTATGTATGAGACACATATAAGATGCTATTTACTCATCTACTTGTTCACTCTCTTTTGACTTAATGGATGTCACCTAATTCTAGTATTTTAAAACTATGGTAGATTTCCCTCTTTTATCATCATCATCCAAAACCTGTGGAAATTTCATATGCAAATAACATTGTGTAAGGAAGCCCCAAAGTCAAAATTTCTACATGTTAACATGGTGGTGCTATCTTATTACTTAAAAGTCTGGGAGAGGAGGGGAAGAACTAAATATAATTGTTTCTTGTTTGCACATGCTAAATTTTGGCATTTTTTTCATACAATATATTTACATGTCTATCATTTCAAAATGCCCCAAACTTCTTTTGTCTCCTTTGAAAAATTCTATTTCATAGCCCTTGGATATTCCTATGAAATACTATGTTCAGTCACTAATCACTTTTCTCAAAAACATTCAAATTACCTTAGTGGTTCTTCTGATTATTTATTTTACATATTATACTTGTAAACAATCTTCCTATTAAAAGCTATTTACATGTGCAACAGAAAAGCCATAAGAGATTTAGAAAGGAAACAGTTTATTTTAACTCCTGGAAACATTTCAATAGTAAGTCTAGGTCTTAGTGTAATCCTAAAAATTGTTCAATGTCTCTGAAAGCAAATTTTAAAGGGAATCTAATAAAAGTCATCAGATCTTTTCTCAGGTTGTATAACCTTTTAATCTATGGTTCAGAATCTTATTTCTTTTTGTATTGAGAATTATATGTAAGGGTTAGGTGCTGGAACCAACTGATCAAAGTTTCTTCATTATTTATGACTTTCGTTGTTCAGTAGTAGGAGAGAGAAAAATGAGATGGGTATAGGAAGAATGAAAAGAAAGAATGAGAATAATGGAGTAAAAGAGAATGTCTTTGTGCACATAGCTTAAATGAAGAGAATACAACATGAGCCTTTCTGAACTATGGACCTTTGCCACTTTTCAGTATTTGTGACAGTTTGAATTTGTTTGTTTCACAGTACATATTCGTTTCCTTGCTCTCCAGAGACACAACCTACAAATTAATAAAATCAGTATGCAGACACCTAGAAGTAAGTATTGACTTCCGTTGTTTTAAAATGTTCCAAACCCCTCTTTTTCTCCTTTAAAAAAAAAAGTATTTCCAGGGTGCGGCTTGGTGGCGCAGTAGATAGTGCTCTGGCCTTGGAGTCCGAAGGACCTGAGTTCAAATCCAGCCTCAGACAATCAACACTTACTAGCTGTATGACCTTGGGCAAGTCACTTAACCCCCATTGCCTAAGCAAAAAAAAAAAATTTATTTTCATATCCTTTGGTTATTCATATGAAATTCTGTGTTCAATCACTAATCACTTTTCTCAAAAATTAAATATGAACAGGGAAGAAGGGAGACACAAAGGAAAAATATATCTTGATAAGCTAGGAGAGCTATCATTGCTGCCTTTTTTGTATGCTGTTTCTAAGTTAGGATTGTAGGTTTAGAACTGGAAGGGACTTAAGCTGAGGGACATCTAATTCAACCTCTTCATTTTACAAATGACAAAACTGATGGTTTTAAAAGTTAAGTAACTAGCTCAAGATTATGTAGGCAGTAAGAAACAGAGCTGGGATTCTGACTTCAATTCCAATACTTTTTCCAATGTATAATGGCACAAATGCCTCCCTGTAATCTTATGGTATTTTATTTTTGTACCAATGATTTTCAGAATACAAGTGTGGGCAACAGCCCCAACCCTTCATCTCCTGAAAATAGTTTCCGAGCTGATCGTCCTTCATCTTTGCCTCTGGTAAGTTTGTATATATCATTGCCTGGGAAGTAACAGAAAGCCGTCCAACAAATCTGGCTTTCAAGGGATAGTGAATAAATTGAATAATCAAACATCTTACATGTAACCAACCAGCAGTAGTATAAGTTTTAAAATTCTATGCTCCAATAAAAAATTTCAGAAAGCACTCCTTTTCCTTTTACAAAATGAATGACTCGCCAGTAGACAGGAGTTATTATAGCAATGAAGGGGCTACTTGGATAGTATATGTACTGACAAAGGGGCCCTTCAAGCAGTTCTTACATTGACGAGTTTTTCCTAAAACCTCCATTTTGAGTAAGGGCCCAGATCAGCCATGCTTCAGCTCTGGATTTTGCCACCTTGCTTCAGCTGCCTTCTCCTTTTACTTCTGCAGGCCCCTTCTCCCACTGATGAATTTCTCCCCAAAATCTCCATTTTAAGCCTCCTTCCCATTCCTAAGGATTGTAAGAGGCAGTGGTAAGGAGGGAGTACATTCTAACCATGAGGGACAGTCTCTGAAAAGACTGGGTTGGGGGAAGGGTATAGAATGCTGGTTTGGGGAAAAGCAAGTGTCTCATTTGACTGGAATACAGACTACCAAAAGGCAAATTAAATGAAATAAGTTTGACCAAGTAGGTGGAGCCAAATTTTGCATGCCCTTAAATGCCAAGCTAGGGAATTGTTTTTCTTCAAAAGCAATTGGGAGCCAGATTTTTTGAGGAAAGGAATGTCATGGTCAGACCTGTGCTTTAAGATTATTTTTACAGTTATGTGAAGAAAAAACTGAAAGCAAGGAAACCAATTAGGATGTTGTTATAATAATCCAGTCAAGATGTTATGAGGGCCTGAATTAGAATTCTAGCCTTATAATTAGAGAGAAAGGAAAAGATGTAAGAAACATTGGAGAGGTATAATGAAGATTTATCAACTTATTGAATATGAAATAGGAAGAGTCAGGAGTGACTCTCAGGTTGCAAGATGAAAGATGGTGGGGAAATTTGGAGGAGAGGCATTTTAGAGAAGAAGATACATTGAATATGAGAATATGAGCTGACGAGATTACCAAGACAGGGTGTAGAAAGACACCAGAGCCCAAGACAGAGCCTTGGGAGAATACCCATGGTTAGAGATGGGTGATGGAGCCTGAGAAGATAAGGTCAGACAGGTAGTAAAGGAAATCATTGTTCAGTCATGTCTGACTCTTTGTGACCCCATTTGGGTTTTCTTGGCAGAGAGACTGGAGTGTTTGCCATTTCCTTTTCCAGCTCATTTTTTACAGATGAGGAAACTGAGGCAAACAGGGTTAAGTAACTTACCTAGAATCACACAGCTAGTAAATGTCTGAAGCTGGATTTGAACTCAGGTCTTCCTGACTTCAGGTCCAGGGCTCTATCCACTGCACCACCCAGCTGCCTTAGTAAAGGAACTAGGAGAGATCAATGCTATAGTGGTCAAAAATGGAGAAAGCATGTAGGAGGAAGGTGTGTTCAAGTGACAAAAGCCACAGAAAGGATCCAGCAATTAAGAAATCATTGATAGCCTTGGAGATCACAGTTTTAGTTGAATGCTGAGGTTGAAAGCCAGACTGCAAGTGATTGGGAAGTGAATGGAAAATAAATTGGAAGCAACAAATCAAGATGACTCTTCCTATGGGCTTGACTGTAAAGTGAAAAAGAAATAGAGGATGGTTCTTTGCATAAGTATCCTGTAAAGGGTTTTTAAAGATGGGGTATATCCAAGACATGTTTTTAAGCTTTTAGGAAGGAACCAAAAGATAAAAAAAGATTACAACAGAGAAAATGATCCAACAAACAAATTCCCAAAGAAAGGAAGGAATGGGATTGAATTCCTTGAGAAAAGGAGGAAACAAGATCTGGATGACTGGATAGATAGGGTGATAGACATACAAATAAAAGGGAGGGAAAATAGAATAAGGATTTGGGGGCAGGGTCGTTATAAGGGGATAAGAGAAAGAGACTATAGCAAAGAATAAAAATCCCCTTTTAAAAATCAAAAATTTTATAAAATCCCACACAACTATGACTATAGTCATACCACATGTTTTGGTTAAAATAACAAAGATCAAAATTATAATTCTTGCTGAACATGTGGATTCGAGGACTCTTTGCAATAACTCACTTCCCTTCTAGCAGTCCTTGGGTTACAGGATAGGAAGCATTGACCTGGATAATAGATATTCTTTGAGAATTTATTATATTCCCAAAACTTGGACTAATAAATTAAAAGGGGAACTCTCACAGATCTTTCATATGCCACTGCTTGCCCTAAATTACATGAGGACTGAAAAAAAAAACCAGAGTTATCATTATGATTCCTTGGTGCAATAACACAGGAACAATTTCCACATAACTTGAGGGAATCAGTAGCATATGAAAAATCCCTGAAATTTCCCCGTTTGATTTTCAGTAATTCCAGGGCAGCTAGATGGTACAGTGGATAGAGCACTGGCCCTGAAGTCAGGAGGACCCAAATTCAAATTCGACCTCAGACCGAACACTTGACACTTACTAGCTGTATGACCTTGGGCAAGTCACTTAACCCCAATTGCCTAAAAAAAAAATTTCAGGAATTCCATCAAAAATATTAATTTAAAATGCCAGGAATCAATGACACTACTTCATTCTCTCTTGATGAGACCTTCCTTGGAGAAAGTTAAGTCTCAGGCCATTTTTTTTCTGATTGACTTTACCTGAAAAGGACATATTAAAATGAAACATTGCTTTTAAGAGGCTAGATAATCCCCATGTTTTTCCTCTTCTACTCCCCTTTCTGTTATAATTTCACTACCCACTTTTCTATTTAGATATTCTGACTTGCCTTTGGTAATATATTTTCACATATCTTTCTAATAATTGTTTCAAATGGTAGCATTTCTTATTATAAAGTGCTATTTAAAACTTTATTAAATTGTTAGTGAATATAGGAAAATGTTTAAATTTTAGCTCCCAAGTTTCCTCTTAACCATGTATAGCTTCAAAAAAGCTGGGTGCTGTTTGTCTACAAAGCTAGGTGCCCACAGGAGTTCAGATACAGCAATTCTACACTAAATAATCAGCAGTTAGAGAAATCAGCAACAGCGTAGAATAGATCTATTTTATCCAGGTCATTTGTAAATATGGAAACTGGGGACGTATAAAAGTCAGCTTCTTTAATAAAATACAAGTAGTCTCTAAACATTTTCTTTCCCTCAGGATTTCAATGATGAGTTCTCAGATTTAGATGGAATGATTCAGCAAAGAAGGCAAGCAATGAATGAATACAGCAGCTCTGGATCTCAGACTCCTGAATCTGAAAATTCTCAAGGTCTGGAGAACATTGTTGTGATGGACAAAAATTCAGTTCTCGCATAAGGTCAAAAAAAAAAAAGATTTACATCACTAGTTAAGGGTGGATGTAGAGTTGGTGGGGAGAGTTTGTATATAATATCCTCAACTTCACTTACTCTTTTTCCTTTTAAATTTCATAGAGATGCTATTTCTTCTTAGTTTTTCCAGTATTTTTCAAGTCAGCATCAAAATATTTCTAAGTCTTTGGAAGCCAAACCAATTAAGAATTTGCTCCCTATTATAATGACTAATTAAAATGCACACCTGAGGCAAGTTTGCACCTAGCCTGATTTTGTTTTGACAGATTTTCATGTGATGGAGTCCCAGACAGTTCTGAAAGTTATTAAGGGAGAAACAAAATCAGTTCATACAGAATCTCTTGTGAATTGTGTGCCTAAAGGAAAAGCCAAGAGCCTTCCAGGATACAGTAAGAATAACAGGTGTTTTCTGGCCATCAATTTGTAACTGCTGAGGTCTCAACTGCCCAATGTGGAACTATTCTTTGCCTTTCCTTCTCTTTCCTCCTCTTGTGAGCTTTTAGGCTACTTGTTTTGATTCCTTGAAAAGGTGAGAAGTCATTGAATTTGTTTTTGCATGGAAAAAAATTGTAACTAACAGCTAAAATGACATCGGGGGAACTGTTATTTCTGTCCCCCATTACCATTAGGAAAAAAACACATTTCTAAACTACTAATTAGGCATGTGGGTGCATGTATGCTATTAGGAGACTGACTATAAAGTATTGTGTTGGGCTGAATTTTAAAGTCAATTGGTTTGTTTTTTTTTTTTAATCTGACATTCAACAGGTCAGTCAGGAGCCTTTGGATTCTTCCATAAATTAAGGTCCCAGAAATCTCTGACACTCCGCCACATTCTCATATTCTATGCAGTTGTGTAAGTACATGAATTGACTATGAGTGACAAGCAAAAGGTCTAAGATAAGTCAACACTAATCTTAACCCTCAGTTGTTTGTGATGCCCTCTTGACTCTTTGAGCCTTATTTCCCACCCCATTCCTTTTATCTAGTTTAGCAAAAGGTATTTCTTTATAAATATACTCTTCTCAAGGAAATAGGGGAAAAGCAAGGAAAACTAAAATGCAGGAATGGTATAGTAGAAAAAGCATAGTGCTGAGAATCAGAAGACTTATATTCATATGGTGACACTGATTAGCTATGTGCTTGTTAGCGATTCCTCACATGCTGGGAAGGAAAAGAAGCTATAAAATTCAAATCATTAGACTTCCTGCTTATTGCTCTAACAAGAGAAGAAATTGCAACTAATAGCTAAAATGAAGTTTGAAGGAACTTTAATCTATGTTTTCTCTGTCCCCCCCAACTGCCAGGAAGGTGGAAAAGTATTTCTAAATACTGTAGATGTATATGTAGATAAACCAGAGGCTAAACTGAGGACTCGATAGGTGAATGCTCTTCTCCCTTTTAATTTGGAAGCCAGTGAAATGTAATTGAAAGAAAATTGGACCAGAAATCCCAAGGTCTGAGTTTGATTCCTGTAGCTCTTTTATTAATGAACTTTCATTAATGACCCAAGACAAATCTCTTGACCTATTTAATATCCCAGCAAAAACACTCACTAGCTATATGATTGTGAGCAAGTTACTTCAGCAATCTGAGTCTCAGTTTGCTCATTTGTAAAATGGGATAGTAATACATGTGCTACCAACTTCATGGGGCTATTGAGAGGAAAGAACTTTGTAAAAATTTAAAATCTATGTATGCTATTAGGGGTTCTAAGTTGAGCGTCTGGCTTTTTCACATTTTAAGTCAACTTTTCAAACTGGTTTCCAGATGGCTTACATTATGGACATTGTACCCTGGTTAATAACCTAGAGCGTGTTTTCTTTTTCTTTTACAGTGTCTGTGCACTTATCTTTTCTACCTTCTACATGAGACACAGAATCAACGCTCTGGAGGAACGGCTTAGATCAATAGCCTCTGTGGCTGATTCTCATGAGTAAGAGAGTACCTCAGTACTATGATTGTCTCCCATTGATAGCTGGATAGTGTTTGACTAGGACTGTTCAACAAATATTTGTTAAACCCATGCTGCACGTGAGGCACAGCACTGGATCCTGAGGGCTGGGAGGTGGAAAACGGGATATAAAAATAAAGTTGTGATCCCTATCCTACTTTGTTGTTGCGGCATACAAAAGAGCAAATCTAGCTATGTGATTATATCTTTTTTCCAAGATTGAAACTCTCTAAGAAACTATTAACACACCCTAACACCCATATGTGACCCTGACCATTTCATACATAACCTGAAGTACATGAGTTGCTATTGGTCTCATTTGTTAATAAGTGTAGTGCTCACTGTTCTTTTATCAGCTGTCTCTTGCTCTGTGCAAATAACCAGGGTTTTCACTCTCCTTTTTTCCTTGAGCACCTCACTTTTTTTTTTCTTCCTGCAGACAAAAAGCACAACATTCCTTGGGATCACAAATGGAAGTCAACACTGAGACCCTCTGTGCAGAGTTAACAGCCAACATAATAAAACTAGAAAAGGTAGCTTTTCATTCCTATATGCATGGGCCCTAAGTCTTAAATAGCAGATGTTGAACATTGTCAAGCCCATAGTAGTAACTATAGACATATAGACAAATAGAAATATAGACAGGCTGTCTATACATCTGTATTCATACAGATATCATGCTTGATATACCTTATGGCTTTCCTCTTAAACAGATATCATACCTGCTACACCATATATTTTTTCTCCTTCCTAGGCTGTGCACATTTTATTTCCATTTGAAAAATTAAAAATACTGACACTCAAGAGAAGACTAAATGGTTTTCCCTAGAGTCACATTTAAGAGTCAAAGCTAGAATTCAAATGTGGTATCATGAATCCAGGTCCAGTTTTCACTATAACCTTAGGCCTCTATAAAAAAAAAAAATGCTTGCTTCTTTGGAGATGACTTTTTCGAATAACTACAGAAGGCTTAGGGGGAAAAATACTCCCCAAGAAGGATAATGAAAAAAAATTAAGCTAGTATTGGTGAAATAAGGAGTTTAGTCATCTATCTGGCACACTTCAATCTACTGCTCCATTGGAAGCCAGAAGATTTTATATTCTATATCCTGAAGCTGTATTATCAAGGTGTTGTTATTCAGTTGTGTCCAACTCTTCATGACCCATTCTGGATTTTCTTGGCAAAGATATTGGAGTGGTTTGCCATTTCCTTCTCAAGCTCATTTTACAGATGAGGAAACTGAGGTAAACAGAGTTAAGTGACTTGCCCAGGGTCACACTGCTAGTAAGTACATGAGGCTGAATTTGAACTCAGGTCTTCCTGACTCCAGGCCCGGGGCTCTATCTGTTGTGCCACCTAGCTGCCCCATATCAAAGTTGTGAGATCATATTACAAGATTCTATAATAGGGGCAGGTAGGTGGCTCGGTGGATAGAGCACCAGCCCTGGAGTCAGGAGAAGCTGAGTTCAAATGTGGCCTCAGACACACATGAAATTTGCTAGCTGTGTGACCCTGGGCAAGTCACTCAACCCCAATTGCCTCACCAAAAAAAAAAAAAAAAAAAAAGATTCTATAATCTTCCCCTTTACCCTCAGGCAAATTCTTTTTCTTTTCCATCTCTACCCAGCCCCTTTCCCAGGATACAAAATTTCTGTTAGATCTTACAAGTTTAAACACAGGGAAAAGTAAAAAATCTAGAGGATAAAAATAAACTTATAAAGCCAGGTTGTCTTGCTGAACCACAGAAATAAAAAGGGAAAGTGAATTGAACCCTGAATAGAACCTACAACACATCTGGTCCACTTTGGTATTGGTGACATGAAAGAGAGCACTACCCAAGGAATCACAGTTCTGTCACTTGCTAGGTTTTCTACATCAGGCAAATCCTTTAATCTTGACAATCTCAGTTTCTTCCTTTATACAATATGTATGATATAATCTATCCAAAGGTAGAATGCACTGCCTCAGGAGCCCTCTCATGGGAGGTCTTCAAACAGAGATGACAGGCCATTAGTTAGGTATGATATAATGGGAATTCCTTTTCAGGTATGGGTTGAACTAAATAACTACTGAGTTCCTTTCCATCTTGAAAACTAATTGAGTCTGTAACTCACACCTGAGGTATTGAGGATCAAGAGAAAATGTATACAAAATGCTTTGCAAGTTTCAAATATAAAGTGGTAATTGTTATAAAGTAGAAGAGTTGTTGTTATTGTTGTTGTTATAAAAATCTTGTCCTTCAGTCTTTATTTCTTACTTTATCTGAGAGGCAGGTCTTTGAAACCAATTTTAACTTGACAAGCATTTATTAAGCACCTACTACGTACAAGGCACTATGCACTGGGAATACAAAGGGGAAAAAATGACATGATTCCTAACCAGATTAAAACCTAATTGGAGACATGTACATAAATAGGCATAACTCAAGGCAGAAAGTGATATGGACAAAGAGCATCATGGCATACATGATGGGGGAACATGGAGTAAAAAGGACCTACATTCAAGTCCCAGCTTTTCTACTTAGTGTCTATATAATCATTTAAATTTCTGGGCCTCAGTTTCTTCACCTGAGAGTGTTGCCTAGATGACTTCTTAAGTCTCTATCCGCTTTAAATCTATGAATGTTTATGAAAATTTGAGGCAGGAGAGATGGTTTTCTGTTTTTGTTATTATTATTTTTCAACTAACAAAATCTATCTTCTCATACTTTTACCTCTCCACCTCCCAGTGAAAAAGAAAAAAAAAAACCTTTTAATAAATACGCAAAGTAAAATGAAACAAATTCCCACACTGTCATGCAAAAAAAAAAAATGTATGTCTTAATCTGCATGCTGAGTCCATCACCTCTCTTAGGACAGATAATTTTCAGCTGAGGAAATCAGAGAAGTCTTCAGAGGAAGTATAAACTAGGATTTTAGTTGAGGTGAAGAAGGAAGATCATCAAATCAGGAGATATCTTAAACAATCATGCTCGGTGTTGGGAAAATGAGGATACATGATGCCAAAAGGAGTTGTAACACAGCAGTTCAGAAAAACTACTCCTCTTGTCTTTACTGACATTTTTTGTCCAATCTCCTAACAAGTTTTAAGGGTGTTCACCTTGATGTTGAATAAAAAAGAATAGAGTTAACTTTTTTCTCTTTCCATTTATTCTCTGTGCTTCTTTCTCCTAGTAGTGCATTCTTCTTCCCTGGGAAATCATAGAGCCCAGGTAAACTAAATGGCAGTGAACTTTGCTTTATGTAGTTCATGTATTTCTGCAAAATAAATAAATCAAGAGTTTTGTTTTTCTTTTTTTTTCAGTAGGGGTGAGATGAAGTCGGAAAAAGAAAATAAATCCAGTTAATTAAAAAAATTTTAATTTAAAAAAATCATCTGTAATTCAGGTTCAGGCTTGGGCTTTCAAGGATCAACTCCTTCATATATATAATAGATAGATACATAGATAGATAGATGTATATACATATATACATATATATGTAATGTTGTTATAATATGTAATGTCATATGTAATACTTAGTAATATCAAGGCTTCGCTTAATTCATTCTCATGTTTGTAGAGGTCTTTACAACTATTTTTTCCTGTCTATTGCCTTTATTTTCAATTCTTATTTCTTATTTTTATATTCATGTCCCCTTTCGTCCTCCTTTTGGATTGAGAAAGCTCAATGATTTCACCTAAATAGTTGTTGAAAAACATTAATTTGCTTAAAGCATAAAAAAAAAATCTTGGTTTTGAGGGAAAAATGTGGCCTTAATTGTACTACAGGGGATGCTTTTGTCTAGACTATTTCCCATGTCTAGAAAGTTCTCCTTCTTCACCTCCCCCTTTTCGAATCTCTGGTTTCATTCAAGGTTCATCTTGGGCACTACCTCCTCTACCCAGACTTTTCTTGATTCCCCCCAGTTGTTAGTACCTTCACACTTCCATGAAATTACTTTATATTTATTTATGTGCATAATGCTGTTTCTCCACATTTGAATGTAAGTTCATTGACAGCAAGACCTGTTTGATTTTTGTGTATTCCCTAGCACAGTGTTCAGTATACAGTATGCATTTAATAAATGGTTGTCAAATTTAATTGAATGGAGAACAACACAAAAAAGGGCCAAAAGTCCAACTCCCAGAGTCAGAAGTCCCTAGTTTTGAGTCCTGGCTATATCACTTACTATTTCCATGGAAAAGTCAATTACCCACACTAAGGCTCAGATCAATTTAGTGGGAATAATGGTATTTGCATGACCTATAATACATAAATCTATGGTAAAGAAAGCTCTTTGTAAACCTTAAAGACCTATAAGAATTATCATTGTTATTATGTTTAATAATGGAAACTTCTTTTCTATCATTTTTAGATACAAAACAACTTACAAAGGCTGCTGGAGAATGGTGACTGACTTACCTACTTGCTTGGGGCCAACTTAATGCCACACTTTTAAGAAACAACTCCACTACTCATGGAGGGCACTCTGCTGGACAGAGACACCGATTAATTGGAATCCAAAGCCACTTTTGCACTTTACAGTTGCTGTCTAAGGAAAATAGGAAGTGATTTGGTTACTGTGCAATAAATGTCAACATTGACTCTGGGGGTGTTTTTGCTGCTGCATCATGGAGAGGATGGATCTCATTTCTTTGGATGTATCAAAGGAGACTGTTGGACATAGCTCTGCCTTTGGGTTTGGATTGACTGAGGTTCAACAGTGATTGCTAACATCAACAAATATGCTCCACTCTGTTTTACTTCTTCCTTTCTACACTTTCTTTATCTCTTAAAACTCCTCACCTTCAACCTTAAAATTAGGCAATAAGTTTAGAGTTGTCCAAAATTAAAAGGGGCTGCTTCATAAAAAAATAAATAATAATTCCCCATAGCTAGAGGTATTTAAATACAGACTGGATCCACGATTTGGATAGGTATTGGAATAGATTACCTCTCAAGTTCCTTCCATTGCTAGTATCCTGGGATTCTCTTTAAAGTGCCTAATAGGAGCCCCAATTAATTAAGGTATTTTTTTTTTAAAAAAGCCCTAAGTGTAAATGATGCTGAATACACAAAAGCTTGAAATAGATAACTAACTTTTTTTCTCCTCCTTCTCTATCCTCTTTTAAATAAGCTGTGTGTTTAAATTTCTTAATAGGGTGTCAATAATGATAATAGGCAAAGTGGATTTAAGTACTCAGTTGGATTTTTCTTTTTCTTGTAGCTAATACTTTTTCTAAGTTATCTTTCCCTAAGCAGGATGTGGTACTGGAGCACTAAATTAAAACTTGCCTTGAGAATCTAATTTTTAAAACCAAAAAAAAAAAAAGCATAACAGTGATTTTTGCACAGAATATAAAACATTGAAAATAATGTTGGGATTCAATACAGAAATCCATTTCACCAGAAATAATGGACTTTTCTCCTTTGTCATGTGAAATTAAGAAATTGCTGGTGGTTTAATATCTTCTATTTACTAAGTTTTCATTATGTACCATAAGATCTGTAAGTATAAAATATTTTATTTGTAAAACACATTTTATAATCGTTTCTATGAAATGTATTTTGTTGTTAAATCAAATAAGCTAATAAATAAAATGAATTGGTTACCTCATTTGTATTTGATAGCCCACTGGCAAAAATTGTGTACTATCAGCTCTTAATAAGTGCTTATTGATATGTAAGGATGGAGGTTGATCAAGTAAATTAATCAGACCAGCCCATTCCACCTAAAATAAGTAATAAGTGTTCTTATATGACATACTTATCTGTAAGAATGCATCTTTATTATTCACTAGGTGTCAACAAGGCCTAGAAACTTCCCTAGGTACAATAGGAAGTCTGGATTGGCTGAGAGATTAAAAGCCTATATAAAACCAGGAGCTAGTTCAGAACCTAAGGATTTGAGTTTCTCCCAGCCTTCTGGCATTGTTAGGGAAAGAGTGCTTCCGTTAAACCTCTAAAAAGAAATTCCTTGGGGGGCGAGCACCTTGGCTTCCTCACTACTCACCACCAAGAGCTCAAGGTTCTTGAGGAAAATCTTGTGAGCTTGAAGGGTCCAGAGGACTTTAGACTTCTCGTTTTCCTACCAGCATCTTAGCAATATTCCCAGAACAGCAGCAGATGACAAGCAGTGTCTGCATTAGGAGCCAAAAACTGACTGAACACAGATTCAGGGTTCTACAAAGAACCCAGCAGAAAAACTATGCTGTACCTAAATGTAATATCTTGAAGACACCAGCAAAAGGACTTCCAGGTTCTGAGTTACACATTTTGTCACATGTGCTCTCTAAGCTTTAACCTATTTTTCCCTATACTCTATATGTACTTGTAGGAGTTTCAGAGTTGCCTAGCTCACTGAACGATTAAGTGTTGTGCCCTTGGTCATGCAGCTGGCATGTGTCAGAAAAAGCACTAAACTCAAATCTTCCTATCTCTTAGGCCTGCCCACTATCTTCTATGCCATGGTATCTCTCATGCACATGGATATGACAGAAAATATATTCTCTCCCTTCCCAAAAGTTCCAATCTTATCTTTGTCATGTTCCAGTTCTCTATACTAGGTAAAAACCACTAGTCTTTATCTATTACCCCCACTTCATTATTTCAGAAGATTTGTGACTTCACTGATATGTGACTTCCACCAACAGATATATATCCCTTAATAAACACTTATCACAAGTTGCTGAAGCATTGACATGGGTGATGCCTTTACAATGGTACGAATCAAATTACAATGCTGGCTTCTTGCACATACCCTTCCATTTGCCTTCCATAGGAGAATCTAAATGTCTTCCTCCATGTATTTTTAACATTCTGTGGGCAACAGTACAAGGTATCCATTTCTCAAGGTTCCCTTGCTCATTTTACATGACTAGGTCATGCTCCCCCCTTTTTTGCAGTTAGTCAATAAACATTTTAAAGCACCTACTATGTGTCAGACATTGTACTAAACCTTTTATAAATATCTCTTTTAATCCTCACGACAAGTCTGAGAGCTAGGTGCTATTATTATTCTCATTTTACAGTTGAGGAAATTGAGTCAGACAAAGGTTAAGTGACTTACCAACGGTCACACAGCTAGAGTCCAAGGTCACATTTGAACTCAGGTCTTCTTAATTCTGAACCCAGTATTCTATTCATTGGGAATACAGAGAAAGACAAAAGATAGTCCTTGCTCTGTGGAGCTCACAATCCAAAGCTCATACATTTCCTGCATATCTTTTACAACACTTCTCAAGACATTATCACTAATATGTTGTAGCCTACTAATACCTACTATATGTCTTTCCATTACCTTTTGAATTGCCCATTGTTTTGATTCTTCTGAGAATATGGCGGTCCATATTTCACTTTCATATAGGTTCACTAGAAGGATATTGATAATCAAAATACAGGTTAACATGTCAATGGAAAGAACAACTTGAAACTCAATGCTATTTAATTATAATGATTGTTTGGCCCTAAAAAGAGATGAGAAAATGAACTTCTCTGCCCTCTTTGAAGACCTAGGGGACCATAGGTGTAAAACATCACATATATTATTACATTTTTTTTCATGACACTGATTCTCCTGGTTCTTCTCCTACCTATATGACCACTCTTCCATGTCCTTTGCTTTCCCATCATCCATATCATTCCCTGAAACTATAGTTGTTCCCCAAGGTTCTTAGGCCCTCTTCTCTCTCTACATTCTCTCTCAGTAAACTCATCAGCTCCCATGAACTAAATTATTATTTCTATGGAAATGACTTACAGATCTATATATCCAGCCCTAGTTTCTTTTCGGAACTTCAGTCCCATGACAATGACCGGATATCTAAAACATCTAAAAATAAATTCCAACTTCCTAAACCAGGGGTGAGGAACCTGTAGGCTTGAGGCCACATGTGGCCCTCTAGGTCCTCAAGTAATACCCTTTGACTGAATCCAAACTTCACAGAACAAATCCTTTTATTAAAGGCATTTGTTCTATAAAACTTGGACTCAGTCAAAAGACCACACCCAAGGACTTAGAAAGTCGAAGGTTCCCCACCCCATCCTAAACAAACCCTTTCCTCTTCCAAGTTTCAGTATTTCTGTCCAAAGTACCACCATTCTAACAGTCTTCCAACAACAGATGTCCCTGAAATCTTCATATTATCCTCAATGCCTCAGACTTCCTCAACCCACACATCTAAACACTTATCAACTCTCCACAAACATCCTCCATATCCCATATCTTCTCTTTACTCATATAGCTATGCCACCTTAGTTCAGATCATCACCTCTTACCTAAGTTATTTCAATGGCCAGCTAACTGGCTTCCATGCTTCAGGTCCCTTCTCACTCCCAAACCTGTAAGTGTTTTTTCCTTAAGAACAGATCTGACCACGTATGTTGGCAGTGGCTCCCTGTTTCTGTTAGTAATAAATATAAATTTCTATGTTTAACTTTTAAAAACCTTTCACGGTCTGGCCCCAATCAATCTTTCTAGCTTCACTAGACATTACTTGCCATGCCACACTCTAGCAAAACTGCATCGTTCACATAACAATGGATCTCTGTGCTTTTACAATGGCATGAATGTAAAGAATGTACTCCCGCCTCATAGAATCCCCTCTCTTCCAATAAGATGTGGCTCAGGTACTACCTTCTATAGGAAGCCTTTCCTGATTCCCCCAAATTCAAGTGCCCTCCCTTTCAAACTATCTTCTATTTAACTATTTTGTATTTATTCTCTGTATAGTTACTTATGTACTTGTTTTTAACCATTAAAATACCAGCTCTCTGTGACTAGAGATTGTTTCATTCTTGTATTTGCATATTCAGTACTTAGCACGGTGTCTGGCACAAAATGGATGCTTGATTTCTCAATTACTTATTCATAGATTATTTTTGAGGAATTATTTTTTCTCTTCTTTATTATTCCTTATTATAAGAGATAGTTTTCTGGATTAGAGAAATGAGAAGGAAACATTCAGAAATAAAAACAGTATAAAAATAAAAGATCTCTGTAAAAATAAAAATTAAAAATTAAGGCAAAATTGTTAAAAAAAAAAAAAAGCTGCTCTAACAAAAAAAAAATCATCATCTTGTGAGCAAACTCCAAGTGATTAAGTCTCTCTAAATTTAGCTGAGCCCTCAAATAAGAGTCCACTGTTGACTTGTTCTCAAAGCCTTTCCAGCTTTGTTGGAATTACCAGATTTTGCATAGGATATGCACTAGCATAACCTTTGAAAACCTAGAAGGCTGCAACCTCTATGCCACAATAGAGCATCAAAGTAGGACTTTAGTTACTTTGGGAGTTGTAAAAGCTACTGTAGAAGCAACATAGTGATTTCCATACTATTTTCTAGAAATGTCCCTGAATACATGAAACTTTTTCCATCTCTTTGCCAAAAGAAGATAGAATTTTTAATTCATAGGACCATAGACTTAGATCTGAAAGGGAATTTAGCAAACCCCATTATTTTACATACTTAATGGTATTTAATTATAATGGTTATAATAAGGAAACAGTCTGAGAGAGGATTAGTGACTTGCCCAAGTTAATACAATCAGTAAACGTGAAAGAATGTCATATGTGCCCTATATCACTTCTGAAGTTGATTGTTTTGTGTTTGATTGGCTTATAGGTGCCATAATTGTCTTCTAACATGATCTACAGTTTTTCACCTTAGATTTTTTTCTCCCTTATGGTTGTAGCCTGGCCCAGGCCTCTCTATATCTTTGGGTCCTGAAAACAAATGAGTACCTTTCATCTTCTTCAACCTCCCATCTACCAATACTTGATCCATAACCTCAAGTATACATTCACCTCATTCCCTTGCCTCTTACTATGTGATCACTGTTTTAAACTGTTCCGTCCCTGAAGGCTTCAGGAAGTTTGGTTCCTAACCTGGCTGGAATCCAAAGTACAAAAGTTGGATGGTGTTCAATACTTAGAGTTGACTTTGGAGAGGGTAGTTTTAATTGAATGATGAGGTTGGAAGCCAAACTGTAGAAAGTTAAGAAGAGAGGAAATGGAGGCACCTAATATTGACAGAAGAAAGGAGGGAAATAGGATAGATGGATCAAGTGAGTTTTTGAAGATGATAGAGACATGGGCATATTTGTAGACAACAGGGAAATAGCCAAAAGAGAGTTTGAACATAAGTGAAAGATAATAGAGGGGTCAGCCTACTAGAGAAAATGAGATGGAATAGAATCAGTTGTACATGGAGATGGGTTTGCTTTATCAAGAAAAACTAACTCATTATATGAAATAAGGGTGAAGGAGGAGATAGAGACAGAAGGTATCTGAGTGATGTGAGATTAAGAGAAGAAGAAAAGAGGGACCTCTCAGC